TCCCCGCTACCGGCGTGTTTACCCCCCTGCAACCCTTCCAAGTCACGGCCACAGGTAAGTACCGGCCCGGTGGGCCTTGCAACCAACAAGTACCCTTGCGGGTCACAAACACATACCCAACCAGCAAGCACTCAGACAGGCATGCAAACCAGCAGGCACGCATACACACAGACTTGGGACCACAGCAGAATGCGGGAAACACAGCTAGGCATTCATTCCATTGGCAAATCCCATAAATCAGCAGTGTTCTCAGTCTGTGTTTTTTGCGGGTCATTACATTACTCCCCTCTCGAGAGCGAGGTCTTTTCGAGCGAGTAACTCAGTCAGAGTCGGTACAGAACACATCGTAGGAGTGCATCAGAAAAAGAGACTTGGTGATTCCATGAGGAGTCATTGTTGCTACGAACTTAGCGGTCTGTCCCTCGGTGATCTGTCTTTCGTAAGCGTTCACAACACGGGGAGCACTTTTTAGGAGCTCTTTCCGGTCGATCCAGAAGAATTCAGTTAACGGGTGATAGAGGAAGTGAACCTTATATTGTCTGTTCCTCCCTCTGCCTTCGTGAGATACGATTCTGTCTATCTCATGGCCGCCGTCGATAGGGCGAGGTATCATAGGATCTCGGAAGGGAAACGTCTCATCATCAATGTGTGGGAACAGTTTGGACGCGTGAAAGACCGGATACGTGCGCAGATGAGGAGGCACGTCAATCACAAATGAAGGACCAAAATCATCCCCGACTACCTTCAAGCTTGTTAGCATGTTTGATCATGGCATGCTGGTGCTTGTTCATGGTTGCAGTAACAACTTTGAGCAAGCGTGAGTACTTAGCATTATAGCCAGGCATGCCGGGCATTAGACCAGGTGACCGTTCGGGGAACAGATAGGAGAGGGGATTACGCATCGGCCATCCGTACTGCAATTGGTTTGGTGTCACACCAGTCGCAGAGTGAATGGAGTTGTTGTACAACCCCTTCACTTTGTGCAATTCCTTGTCTCACGTGTTCTGATCTGGAACAATTAGTGCGCGAAGCACTTGGATGACAGTCTGGTTGATCTCCTCAGCCAATCCGTTGGCTTCGGGGTGTCGACCAGAAGTCATGTTCAGTTTGATGTCGTAGATCTGAGATGTGAAGTCTTTCCAATCTTTGTTGATGAATCTGGTGTCCCGATCACTCACAATAGTTTTCGGGACGCCGGACTGCAGAATGTACTGCTGATGGAATTCTTCTATGACAAGTTCAGTCGGGGCGTGAGGAGGGAGAGGAATCAAGTTCAGAAATTTGGAAAAGCGGTCCACAATGACTATGACTTGTGAATTCCCAGCCTCACTCACCTTTCCCATGTCCGTGAAGTCGATGGAAATTGACTCACCGGGTCCATCAGGAATGGGGAGAGGTCTTAGTAGGCCATAAGGCTTATGCCTGTGGACCTTGATTCTTTGGCATACCTGACATTCAGCAATGAATTTCTGAGCAGATCCTTTCATTCATGTTCCATAAGTCTTCTCAAAGCCAAAATGTCCACTCCGACCATGTGCCAAATCCAAGAAATGAGTTCAGAGAGGTGCATGGTTGGGTACACACAAACGGTCAAACTTCCCATACCCCGGAATACAAGACCCTCGCATTCATGAAAATCAGGCTGACTGTTAGGGTCAGCCTTGAGCTGCTCAAGGATGGGACTGAGGTCCGGATCCTTGGCGGTGTGTTCAATCAGATCCTCCTTCAGTTTCCTCCGAGGCCGTATGAACCCACAAGGCAAGTCAAGAATTCAGGATGGCGGGACAATGCATCAGCAACCCGGTTATAACAGCCTTTCTTATGTTTCAACTCAAAGCTGTAGACATCAATGTCATGGAACCAGCGGGTCAATGTAGGAGAGAGATTTTAGATTGTGTCTGAATCCACTGCAAGGTCTGATGATCATAGTAGACCTTGAAGTGGCGACCCAAGAGGTAGTGTTTCCAATGTGCGAGGGCTTCGCGCAAGGCGTAAAGCTCACGCATATATGTGGAAGTAGCTACCTTATGGCTGGGCATGCGTTTGCTGTAGTACTCGAGCGGATGCAGGCCATCACCATCATCTTGCTGCAGCACAACACCAATCCCGAACTGGCTCCCATTCGTAGTGACTACGAAAGTGAGGTTGGGATCGGCAATGCGAAGCACAGGATGACTCACCAATGCCTCTTTCAAGGCTTGGAACGCAGGCTCACACTTCTCACACCATGCATAGGCAACATTCTTGCTGGTTAGTCTTGAGAGAGGGTGAGCAATGACAAAGAATTTGGGCACAAACTTCCGGTAATATGAGGCCAGACCAAGGAAAGAAAGCAGTTCGCGTACATTTGCCGGTTGAGGCCAATTTCGGATGACCTCAACCTTGGTTGCCTCCGGCTCAAGGCCGTTTGCAAACAACTGATGCCCAAGATAGATGACTTTGTCCCTCCCAAACTCAGATTTCTCCAAGTTGAGGTGCAGTTGCGCCTCCTTGAGGACCTGCAAAACTTCCTCAAGGTGCTTGAGGTGCTCCTCCATGGTTTTGCTGAAGATCAAGATATCATCAAGGTACACAACCACAAACCTGTTGAGTTGATGGCGAAGTACCTTGTCCATGAGGCACTGAAAGGTGGCCGGTGCATTCGTAAGACCGAAGGGCATAACGATGAACTCGTACAGCCCATCGCGTGTCTTGAATGCAGTCTTGTGCTGGTCACTCGGATCAACTTCAATCTGATGGTAACCAGATTTGAGGTCGATCTTGGAGAAGACCTTGCATCCACCGACCGCATCTAGCAGATCATCTATGCGAGGCAAAGGGTAACCATTCTTTCTTGTGATCCGATTGAGGCCACGATAGTCAATACACATCCGGAGTTTGCCTCCTTTCTTTGGTACAAACAAAACAGGTGCGCCAAACTCAGACTCGCTAGGCCTAATCCATCCACGATCAATCATGTGATCGATTTGTCTCCGCAGCTCCTCCAACTCGCCTTGTCCCATACGATAGACGCAGCCTTTTGGAGGAACACTCCCTTCTACTATCTCGATCTTGTGTTTGACTGGACGCTCGGGTACTCCGCGAGGTTCAGCCAAAACTTCAGGAAATCGATCTAATAGAAGGCGAATGTTCGTTGGGTTTTCTGGTGGCGGATCATCCTCGTCAGGGGAGAGAAAATCAGATCGAGAATTTACAGCAATCACAACCGGTTTCGAAGTATTTGGATCAGATATAGATTTATCATTTACAGTAGAAGTAGGTGGAACAAAAGTAGAAGTAGTAGAGGTAGAGTTACYTTCAGAGGTAGAAAATGCAGCAAAAGTAGAAGGCACATGGAGAGGCTTTACAAGAGTTATATGTACAAACTCAGCTTCCTTGCGCCTGCGCACTGACCTGCAGAATTTGTTAGCACTGAGAAGAGTCACAGGGGACTCGCGGGTCTCATCTAACAAGACGGTACGCTCGCTCCCCTTGGCGTCCAGTACCACAAACTGGTTGTCCGCCCACAAGGTCCTTAGGCAATGAGCCTTTAGCCAGCCCAAGCCAATGACCGCGTCGAAAGGGCACCTGTCCAGGACTTAAAAATTCAGCTCATGTGTGACAGTGCGATCTTTGTCAAAGGTGATGCGCACACCTTTAACAGCATGAGTGGAAGTGACAACCTCTTGGTTTCCCACCTGAGTCCGACAAGGATTCTGCAGTTCCACTTGCTTCATACCCAGGCCCGCCTTACGAATCCCGTTCGGAGAGAAGAAATTAGTGGTCGAACCACTGTCAATCAGCACACGTATGTATCGACGGTTAATGAGTAGTTTAAAGAAAGTCAGCTCCACGCTTCCTTGAACACGGCGTTGCTGCTTGAGCTGCAGCCAATGCTTCATGTGGGCGTGGAGGTCGACCTCTTTAGACTCCTCCTAGGGCTCAGCGTACAACACTTGGACTGCATCAGCCTTGGATTCAGCATTAGTTTGGGCTTCAAGAGCACGCTGCTGATCAGTTCCAGGCTCCTCGGAAGGGCCTGCAACTGACTGCCCAACTTCCCTTGCTGTAGAGAGTGCTGATGACTCCTCTACGCCCCTTGCCTGTTTCCCTGAAGACGATAGCAATCCTGCACAACATGCCCAGGCTTTGAACAATGCAAGCATACGCGTAGTTTGGACCTTCTTTCCCATTCTTTTTGGCTGATGCGGAGGGCTTCCCAAGGCTTGGTAGAAGCGTCCTCCGGTTTCTCAGGGATCTTAGCATTTTTGGGAAGGTGTAAGACAGTTCCCTTACCTGAACCACGGTTAGGGTCCTTATTTGAAGCAGTCTTTCTGAATGCATTAAGTTTCTCATCATCATTTCTGTCACACTCAATGGCTGATGTGGAACAACCCGTATCGGAGTCCGGCTCTAGATCGTCATCTAGAGACAGATCATCCGCATAGGACTGATCGTCAGCCTCCCGATGATCATGCAGTGCAAGCTGGTTGCTGCTTCCAAACCGCTTGCGTTGTGGTTTCCCATCTGCAGCGGGCGCCTTCTTGCGCCTGGCGAGGTCCTTGGCCTCTAGGTCGACTAGGTCCTTCATGAGTTCTCGCCAGGTGGCATGGTCCTTGAGTGCTAGCAGGGAGAGGTAATTCTTAGGGGCCACTCCCATGACTACATCCATACAAGATACGTCAGTCATTCCCAGATCCGGAGTGGTGAACAGACTAGTCAAGTGCTGTTCCAAAGCCTGCATGGATGACCTCCATGTTTGGCCCTTGAGGGCCTCAAGCTTCAGCCTAGCCTTGAGCGCAACATGTTTATCCTGGTACCGGTCAAGGAGAAGATCCTCAAGAACGCGGACAGGGGTGACCTTCAACCAATCAGTCAGGTCTATGCGTGCATAGCCTACAACAACAGCTTGGAGCTCAATGTGGTTTCGTACGGCAGGCTCGGTATTAGTTCCCATGATCATACTTCGGTCCTCTTGCGGTGTCCGCATGACCTCGAAGTACGACCGCATGGAACTAATCCAAGAGGTGATGTCTGCCTTCCCGTCGTACTTGGACGGCAGCGTGGCCGCCCGCTTGCCCACCATGGGACCGCTGTACTGAACGCTAGTAAGGACTGTGGCGTTTTGGGCTGAAGTCCCTGCATTCGGGACCGTGACCAGCGCAGAACTGCCGGTGCTGCCGCTCGAGGAGCTGGCGCCGGTTCCTGCGCTTGCAACAGTTCCGCTTGCCCTTGGCACGAGGGCTGTGTTGGCTTGAGAGGTTGGAATTATAGCAGATCGAGGGTTAGGAGGGCAGCAGGCAGACAGCTGGGACTGTTCAAGGCTAATTACTTTAGCCTGCACCTCTTCGTTCCGCTGCTCAAGTGCTGTCATACGAGACTCAAGGTTTTCCAAGGTCCGCAATCGGACCAAGGCTGCTACAGCAGCAGCTAGTTCCTCCTGGAACCGGTCAGCATTGGCTTCCGGGATCCGAAGGAGAGCCACCTGATCAGCAATGTCGGCTGCATCCAGCATGGCCTGCCTTGGGCAGATGTGATGACCGCCATGCTGGAGGAAGGGGCGTCAGTAGAACTCTCAAGAGGGGTCTGCCCTCTCCTTACGTTTGGACGAACACTCCTCTTACCCCTTCTCACACTCTCAAACAACACACCTTCTCTCTCCCTTTCCTCTCTTTTCGCTGTCTGCGCACGTGTCTCGATACTGGRCATAGATAGTTCAGATAAAAAGAAACAAACAGAAAACCACTCAGAGAAGAAGGTAGAACTCCTGGCCAGAGCGGCGAATCATTTGGACTTAGAGTGTGGCACGCAGCAGAAGAATAATAAATAAATAAAAAAAAATAGAAACAGCAGAGAGGTCTGATTTATAGAATGGGCCTGATCAGATCAGCTAGAGATCCCCTCTTGTCTAACCTGACAGGGGACATACATCACAGTAAATCAGACGAAGAAGACTAATCTGCAGCAATGGAGATTTCGAGGGGTGCAGATGGTCGCCGAGTCAGACGCGGGGCAGTATGTGCGAACATGCGGTAAGGCCAGTCAAGATCCCCTTGAAAGGAATGCCCTTGCTGTCCGTATGTCCCCCAATTACAGCACAGCAAAGAAATGCACTGGCGGCAACAGATCTGGGCCCAAAAGGTCCTGTCCCATTGGGCCTGGTCCCACTGGGTCCCGAGGGGTCCCAAGTAGGCCGTGGACCAGGACCAACGTGATAGGGGTGCCAAGTCGGTCCCAAACTGCCTCTACTGTACTGAAAAGGAAAAGACAACTTTCAGCAAGAACTCACTTCTACAGCCGTTCAGAAATGAAAAGACAATGCACCGTAGAAAGATATGTCATTTAGAGTAGATACATCATCCATCCATCCATCAGGTGAGAAAGCAATCCACAAGCTCACACACACAACCAAGACCGTAGAGAAGAGGAAGAGAACCCAGCACACCCCCAACAGGCCATGCAGCACCAAGCAACCTCCCACGGGCTTTCCCAGGTCACACGGCACTTACCTGTGAGGCCCGGCCTCCAAAGATGGATTACGAGTCACTCCCCTCTCATATAAGTCCTCCTGACCCCTAGCTACCASYRMACGAAGTGTCCTAGCATGACTAAGAGGGCCTTCCTACACCCCTGTTGCAAAGCCGGATCCCCCGTCGATGCCTGAAGACCAAAGTAGCAACTTGCAGCAATCCGATGCAGATATGGCAGCCTCCGATCAAGTCTCCCTCTTGAGGGGAAGCCCAAAAGTCACTCAATGTCTTCCTGAAGTCCAGAATCCAGGTGCGAGTACCTCTCACTCTCTACTCCCTCTCGCTTACTCCATACAGCCTCCTTTGTGTCTCGCCACCCCATCATTCACTCAAGCAACCTGGTTGGGTCCAATGTCGACCCTACATGACCTAACCAGGTGGGGGCAGCATCCCCATACCTCGCTGCCCCAGTTAACCCTAACTTCCCAACCCTAATCCGAGATTAGGTCAGGCTTAACCTAGTTCGGAATTAGGGTTAGGGTGACTAACACCTCTCGCCAGCAAGTAAGTCCGCTCCGATACCAATTGTTACGATCCTGGTCATTTCCAAAGTGCAAATTCACAATGAAAGACAATGCCACCAAATTGCGAAGGAAATGAAAGCACTTGCAAAGAGATAAAGACCG